AAGAAATCATCTGTTTAGAAACATTTTCGGTGAACGATTGATGGACCCGATTCATCATATTCTTGTTTCGAGATCCACATCTGTTGAAATGTCGATAACGATGCCAAAATTGAACCACCAATCCACACCGAGTATTTACGTTCGGGTGGTGCAATGATTTTGATTTTCATTGTTGATGGTGCCAACGACGTGATTTCTTTTTGCATACGATCAGCGATACCTGGATACATCGTTGTACCACCTGACAAAACTGTATTCGCATATAAATCTTTACGAATATCGATATCGCATTTCATGATCGAGTTGTATGTTGTCTCATGAATACCTAACAAATACACAAATTAGCAACTCAATCAACACACACACTTCTCTCATCTCTACTCACCAGCTGTTTCCATGCCAAGGAAGCTCGGTTGGAACAAAGCTTCTGGACAACGGAATCGTTCATTACCAATGGTGATCACTTGTCCATCGGGTAATTCATAGCTCTTCTCTAATGATGATGATGATGCAGCTGTAGCCATTTCTTGTTCGAAATCGAGAGCAACATAGCAAAGCTTTTCTTTGATATCTCGCACGATTTCACGCTCAGCTGTTGTCACAAATGAATAACCACGTTCGGTCAAGATCTTCATCAAATAGTCAGTCAAGTCACGACCAGCCAAGTCAAGACGAAGAATGGCATGTGGCAATGCATAACCTTCGTAGATGGGAACTGTGTGTGTCACACCATCACCCGAATCAAGTACAATACCAGTTGTACGACCACTTGCATAGAGTGAAAGAACAGCCTGGATGGCAACATACATAGCTAAAAAAAAACAAAATCAGATCACATATGTGTTTGTGTGTGCATTCGACGGGATGCAATGAATAATACCTGGTGTATTAAATGTTTCGAACATGATTTGTGTCATCTTTTCTCGATTAGCTTTTGGATTAAGTGGTGCTTCGGTGAGAAGAACTGGATGTTCTTCGGGTGCAACACGAAGTTCATTGTAGAATGTGTGATGCCAGATTTTCTCCATATCATCCCAGTTAGTAACAATACCATGTTCGATGGGATATTTGAGAGTGAGAATACCACGTTTAGATTGGGCTTCATCACCAACATACGAATCTTTTTGTCCCATACCAACCATGACACCTTGATGACGTGGTCGACCAACAATAGATGGAAATACTGCACGAGGAGCATCGTCACCAGCAAAACCAGCTTTGCACATACCACTGCCATTATCAATAACAAGAGCTGCTACGTCGTCGTCACACATG